AACTTACCAGGTTTGAAATCCTCCCTCGCTGAATAAAAGCAGAAGGCCAGGACCAATCCCGCAAAGGGAATGAGAATCTTTCGCAACCGACCCATCCCACTATAAGATCAGGAAATAAAACATGAAAGAGAAGGGAGAAAAACTGTCTGCAAAGCTGCTCCAGACAGAAGCAGCAGTGCCTATCCTTTAAAATGTGTCAGTGAAGCGAAAACAACTCCCAAACCTTTGGAAAATCGCAACGGCCGGAGCTGCTGGGGGAAGCGGAAGCTTTCATTTGCTCCGCTCTGGAGCTGATCAGTCTCGGCTTAAGTGACCGTGTTGTTTTGGACTTTGCCTAGCTCTTTTTCATATTTCCTGCCCCTACGTCAAAATAAGGAATTTTGCACAACACCCTGGAAGAGGTGTGTCCTTGCTGAAAAGCATCAAGTTTCACTTTTGAGAACATTAGGGACTGGCTCCTGCAGGTGTGGTAGCCCTGTGTTTTATTGTGATGTGTTTGCTCAGCCATTGAGCCACCCTCCTCCTTGAATGCGAAGCAGAGAGAAAGGAGAAGCCATTCTAGCCTGGAGGCGTTTCCAAGTTTACAGGGGTTTGGACACGGGGAAAGCCACTGAGGCCCTGGGGTACAGTGTTCCTGCTGGGAACTCTTCGCTTCACCTGCTGCAAAGCTTTGAAGTGACAGCTGTTTGCCTTTGTGGATGCTGAGCTGTGGAAGCCACCTACCCCGCAGAGCCCGGGAGATTTTGGGGGGGGACATTTTTTTGTATTCCAGGTCAAATGAGCCAAACTGGTTCCAAATCCTCTTGACTGAGTAAACTCGATCATTCAAACACTGTATGTGATGCTACAACCAGCAGGTATCCTCCACCCCACCCTTTTTAGCCTGGGGCTTCAGATACTCCTATGTCAATTGGCAAGCATCCTACATGCTGGTCCAGACCCGGAGGCCTTGGGTTTTGGATGCCTCTGAGTCTCACTTGCCCTTAGCCAACGGCCACAGGAGCAAGCTAAGGAAGAGTCCCCCATTTCCATAACGTCAGCATGTAGCCGAGATGCTCTCACTGGAAGCTGGCCGCTGGGAAGCTAATTGCAAGACCCTCATGGGATGTCCTGTCCGCAGCGCATCGGGCAGCGGTGCACCCTCGGCTACACTATGCTATTCAGTCTGGGCAACCGACCAGTGCAGCAACTACACTTGATCTTAGATGCTTTCTTGATTTGGCTCGCTGTCCAAGTGGAGACTGGGTGATCAGTAGAGGGCCAAACTGCCCCCCTTGATGCCATCACCCCAGCTCTGGGTGAATGCTCCTTAGCAAGGGCCAGTGCTGAGCAGCTTGACATACTGCTATGTGGGCTGTACCTGTTCTGCAGAGAAATAAAGGTCTTTGCTGTCCAGAGCCGCTGCCTGGCATCTTCCACTAGCATTATATCCATTGCCAAGTTAAAGGGAGATGTCCCAGAGAGCTGCAGAGCAATATTCAGAGTCCCCGTGTGCGCAGACTGCAGCCAGGTTGACCACAGAGGTCTTGCAACCCAGGGGCTACACTCTGTTCCTGGTTGACTTGTGCAACCCATGCCCCCTCATTTTGGCATCTTCTCTGAAACGATATGCCTTCTAAATGCTGTTTAGAAACATTCAGGCTGTCCCCTCCTTAACAGAGCAGAAATAACCAGCCAAAGAAGAAAGCAGGAATGCCTTGCCTTCTCCTCACGTCCCAATCTGATCACCCATGGAGAGGTTCGAGCTCATAATGGCAAGCTAAAATGTGTGCGGCCCAGTCCTCTGGAGGAACCCTACAGTAATGAACCCCAGTGAGGTTTTGGGTGCAGCTTTGAAATTAAAGAGGGCACGGGTTAATAATATACTTGGCAGGTCTGTGTGCTGCCAGGGTGCTATTGCTCTTGCCATGTAGATATTCCCTTTCTGTTTCCACTTGAATGGATGCTCTTCGGTAAGGGGGCTGCGTACCTTTTGGTAAGGAGGACACGTGGCCCCGTTTTGGGGAAACAGCTGTTTCCCAAGTCTCCTTCCTCTTTGTTCTAACACAGAGGTCATGGGTTATGGTAATGGTTTCAGTTGAATAAATGAAATAATTAACCCTTAGTCACAACCGGCACCTGTGCACAGGTGTGTGGGAAAAGCAAGGCCCTGTCTCATGAAGTCTTAGCAGGGCAGGGAGGCACCTTGTTGGCTGATTTGTTCAGCAAGGCGTAATCTTTTGTAAGCAATAGCCTGCTTTGTCAGATGCTAACTTATCAACTCTGTGACAGGAGCAGCTAAAGACCAGGGCCAGGCAAAACACTGATTTGTCAGCTCTGGGCTGAACTGAAATATGGAAATCTTCTGCAGGCTACCCAAAGCATCTAGCCTCTCTCGACACCAAATGCCCCATGTCATTATCAGGCTTTTAAACCCTTAAAAAAAATGGAAGTCAGCTAAATTTATGGTTGAAAATTCTTTTTTTTTAATGTTGAAAAAATGATTTTGGGGGAAATAAACAGGGTTTTTTTTAAATGTTAAAATGAGATGCTTGACTTCTAAAAACTCTTTTCTGTTGACGTTATTCATTACTTCTAAAACCAGTTTGCTAATGGTTTCACTTGACCACGAGAAAGTAATTCTTTGGCAGGTGATTTATTCCCGTGAAACACTTTGTCCTGCCTTACCATATTTCCCAAATGGGATCAATTTTCCACTGTGCCTTACAGAGCACAAGTGTGTAGGGAGAAACATTTCCTGTCCCAGCAGGCTTATAGGCTAGTTAGAGAAGACAGACAAACGGTGGGGTGGAAAACTGAGGCATGGGAAAGAGAGATGACTTGCCCAAGGGGTCCTGAGGAGTCAGTGGCAGAGCAGCCAGGGAACTTGGGTCCCCTGCTT